TGCGCTTGCACATGTGTTGCTTCCCACTTTCCCAACTAACTATTTTTGAAGGTTAATTTGGAATGTTTACTTATTGTCACAAGGATCCTCACTATGTCCTTGGGCACTTCTTAATCTACATGATCATTTTAAATGATCATGGCCATAGTACCTAGGCTTGACACTTGGATGCCTTGTACCTCATATGTTGGGTTAAGAATCAATATGTGTATTTTTAGCTTAGGGTTTTCATTGCAGGTACATTTCTTAGACAAGCTTGGATTTTATTATACACCCTTGTGTATACATAGAAATTGGCTAACACCCTTAAGCCAATATTTTCTAATATGCCCAATATTACTCAATATTGGGCATTGGGAAGCCCATGTACCCCCAATACCTATTCTTAAAACATAATTGGCTCTTCACTAGACGAGTACATTTTCTGGAATGTTCCAGGTCTATTGCTTCAAGGTTTTACATTCACATCGGGTTCTAGACTCATCATGAAGGGGCACCATGCTTAGTTCTACCGTTCAATACATAGCCTATAATGCATCATTAGTCATTTATATAAAGGGCACCATGCTTAGGTCTACCGATTCTAGACATTCATTCATTCATTACTTAAGAAAAGGTGCCTAAGCTTACCAAGTCAAGAGATCCCATTCAACATATCTTTCATTCATCAAGGAAAAAGGCACCTAAGTCTACCAATTCCAAGATTTCATGAGCAAGAAGCTTTCATGTATCAAAAAGAGACACCTAACTCTACCAAATCAAGATACAACATTACAATATAGAGACCCTTCATAGTCTAGCATCATCACATATGAACATTAAGAGAGAACATACTTCCAATCACAATACCATAACATTTTATACAAAGTCACTTTGTAATCACATGAACACCTTCACATTATATAACATGATTTCATTTAACTCATTAGACTCTCATTCAAATCCTTCACATCTCATTCACATATATAATATCATGACAACACTTCAATTCCTCACGTAATGCCTTCAAGGCCATGATCACAATACATAAAATATATAAACACTTCCGCCACAAGTGGATCAATCTATACAAGAACAATTCCAATATAGCATGAAATTAGGTCAAGTTACCATTCACCAAAGCCATAATCGCCATTACTCGATTCCCACACTTCTAATATAACAAGAAGATTTAAACATAACTTGCCTACAATGCCAAAATTCTCAATCCATCCATACACTAACAATTCGTCATAAATAGGTATAGATTACAATAGAAAACAATAATACAATTCAATCTAAGAATAATACAATCAATATCCAATCATAATTATCAAATCCACTTCATAAGCGAAATTTAGGAATTTAGGGAAAGCATGGGTTCATGGAGTTTTTCATCTTAAAACATCAATTAAACATCAATACATCATATTTGATCATTTGAAATTTTTTCATGCAAGAAACCATGAGTTTGAGAGAAAATTGGACTTTTTCATAAACTTTGAAAATTTGAAATCTATTTTGAAAGTGGCTCTAGGGTGACAGCTTTCCCTAGATAAAGAACTCCCATACCTTTTTATTAAGATTTCCAAAGAAATTTGATGAATAAAACCTTGAATTCAAAACCTTAGCTGCTCACTTCTTCTTTTTCATTGAGCTTGAGAGAAATATTGAGACAGAACTTTGGAGATTTTTTATTTTGGGTTTCGAAAATAATGAGTTAAAGTAGGGTTTTAAGACTTAAAATTACTTAAATATACCATATGGCGCTTTTAAAATCAACCCCACATGTTAAAAGACTTAAATAAATTACTTTTAAAACCCTAGATAAGGAAGCCCCGTCAGGGACCACGCCCATCTAAATGGCTCGGGAAGGTGACCACAGCCCGTTAAGGTGCCCGTGGTCCTTAGGTAGTAAATCCTCTTAGATCTTGCCAACCTTCATTGGCCAAGGAATCTTCACGGCCAACTAAACGGTCTGTGGTGATGACCACTGGTCGTATAGAGGCTTGTGAAGTTTGAGGCAATGGCTTGGCCACAAAGCCTTGCCTCACATGCCACCAAGGAATCTTCACGGCCTCCTTCATGAGCCGTGATCAATACCACTAGCCGTGAAGTGGTCCGTGGAGACTTGATATAGTGTTTAGCCAAGGTTGGAAGCCTTGGCTTTAGGCTAAGGCCCTTCCTTCCTTGGCTTGGCACAAGCCCAAGCACCCTTACCCACCTCAAAAACACCTTTTTAACATAGAGTCTAACATGTGCCTTGATGTTGACTCATTAAACTCTCTCCAAAACAAGGCTCGAGATAACAATATACCATAAGAACACATTACTCAAAATACTAGTTTCTGAATGTCATGGTCGTCCCTTGACGTTCTACCTCAAAACTCTTCCAACCAATCTTTAAAAGTCATTTCTCATCATTTTAACTAGTTACCAAGTCCTAAAACATATTTAACACTCTAGTTCTTCCTACTTCATATTTAGGGTTGTTACAAATGGCATCCTTTTCATTAATGGCTAATGAAGTACTCTAAGGCTTTGTCTTGAATCGATAGCCAATGGCATTCTTTTCATGATGAGTTAGTGAATTAATATAATGATGGACCTTGAATCAGTAGGCCTAAGGCATTTTTTTCATGAATGACTAATAACGAGCCTTGAATTGATAGGCCAATGGTATCCCTTTCATGAGGATTCAATTAGCTATCCTAATGATGTACCTTGAATTGATAGGCCAATGGCATTCCTTTCATGTGTGTAATAATGTACCTTGAGTCGTACCGCCAATGGCATCCCTCTCATGAGTAATAATGCTAAAGAGAATGAACTACTCTATGGGACTTTAATGCTTAGCATTGAATAGATATTGTGGGGTAGAAATTTTCCCTATGTTAGGCCGGGTATTCTAGTAACAACTTTCATATCCCACAACAATGTTCCCACATAGGTTATACCTAGTTGATTCACCTAAGTTAAATTATCAGTTCTACCTTACGCATGTAGACCAATCCTTAACGGTGTGGGATAGACACTGAATTTCATGATTCTCTCACATGGTCTATGTCAGTTAGGGTTTATTACCCTCATGTGAGTTATGTGCAATGGTTACTCAAGAGGCCTCATGAAGTGTGGGTGGTAGTCTGGAATGACAGTCATGCATTGCTCGAGTAGGCTTTGAGAGTGGTTGTGGCGTGTTCCTCAAATGTCATAAGGTCTAAAGAAATGAATGTGCTTATAATGATGCTATAGAAAATGTTGCATAAAAGCTAAATGAAATGATGAAGGCTTAACTTGGATTGTTGCTATGAGTTACTTTCCTTGACATGACTTACTAAACATGAATGTTTATTGTTTATGAGTACTAACTAAAGAGGAGAATGAAGAATGGTGAGTATGTATAAGACTGGGCGACGGAACGGAACGTACCGGTACCATTCCGGTGTGTTCCAGTTCGTCCCGTTTTGGTTGCATACGGGACGGGACGAGATAGTCTGAACTAGTACACGGAACGGGATGGAACCGTAGTTTTGTACCGGTGTACCGGTACCGGTTCATCCCGGCTCCTGTCCGATCCGTTCCAGTTCTGATCCGATTTACTTAATATATTTTATATAATTTATATTTTATATTTTATATAAATTATATTTTATATAAATTGTATTTTATATAATTTCTATATATTAAAATTAATTACCCACCACACTCTCCCCTTCCCTGACACTTGGCAGGCGACGGCTTTACTAAAAGTTGCCCTGCGCCCTGAGCCCCTGACCACCTGCCCCTGCCCTGCAGCTTTTGATAAAGCTGCAGCCCCCTTTCCAACCCCTCATTTGGCATTCCTATTTCCCCTTCCCTTTTTCCAACGATCGTTTTAAAACGGAAAAATTAAAATGACTACTTTTTTTATTTTATTTATTTATAATTTACAAGACACAAGTTATAAATATAAAAACTTATAAAATAAATATTAATGAATAATAAGTAATAACTTATAAAGTATAAACTTCAAAAGATTTAAATTTTGAAAACTTTATTAGACTTTACTTGCAAACTTAATAACAAAAAAAGATTAAAATATCTTTAAAATAAACTTAAGTAAAAAATTATAGTATAAATTTAAAAACTTTGTAATCACAAAAAATGTCGTCCCATTTATCCCGTCCGTTCCATTTCGGTTTGTTTCGATTCCATCCCGGTATATAGTGGAACGAGACGGAACTGATTATTCATCCCGATAATTACGATTCGGTTCATTCTGATACCGGTCAACGCGTCCCGTTCCAGTCGGGTACCGATTCATTCCGGTCAGGAGACCCGGTTCTGATCCGTTGACCAGTCTTAAGTGTATATGGTGGCTTCAAAGGGATACTTAGTATGAGTGGTATTATGGGATGTCATTCATACATTGCATAAGTATAACTTAGGGTTACCTAAGAGATGATTTTATTACGTTATAATGATTTGCATGTTGAATATTAAGTCTTATCTTTTACACTAAAAGTGTATGATGATTTTCAAACTTAGTAAATGCATGTTTTTCAGCGAAAATGTCCATTTTAGCATGTTTTCAAGGATTTGAGCATAGTTATCATACTTATACATTTTTGTATAACCCATATCTCTTCTATATTTTTCTACAGTGCGTAGGTTCCAACGTTGAGGTGATCTCCCTTTTAGTACTAAACTTGGATTAGACTATTCTACAGAGCTTGTGGTGAGTCCTCATTGATCCGAGTGATGCCTTGTTTCATTTCCTTCCATTGTATTAGACTTTCAGATTCTACTGCAAGGGTTGTGACCCTCTTTGAGACTGGATTGTATGGATAAAAGTTTAAATTCAGCACCATTTTCTATTATCTTGTGTTATGATATGTTATGAGGCTTGTATGAGGCTTTTTAAGAGTCTTGTATGCAGTGTCACGTCTGAAGTGTAGGCTCGAATTGTGACAACAGGATAACCTATGATTCAACAAAGCAAGCAGCGTACCCTTGTGCACCAAACAGAAAGCAGTGAGCAGTGAGCCAAGTGCCAGAGGAGTAAATAAATACATGACCTTTTTTGGTTGCATAAGCTATTAATAACAGTGTTTTATATATGTATGTTAATAGAGAAACCCCGAATCATAATCTATGGCAATACATATATATATTCACTACTATAACACTCCAGCATCTCTGCACGACTGAATGAGCACTAGTAACTCACAGTAGATTTGATTGCATCCAGTATCTGCAACCAATAACAAGGCAGCACTTTGATCAAGAGGTCAAGAGTGAAATCTTTTGAAAATGAAACAAGTTTCATGTCCTGTTACCTTGTTCGTTGTAGGCAAGTAGAAGGGCTCAAACACCAGAGGAAAAGGAGTATCTAACCCACACACTCTGGCCACTGGAGCTTCTAACTACAAAACCACCCAAATATTAACACTTGCAAATTAAATACTCCAATACTTGATGTCATAACCAAATATTGGAACATGAAAAAATAATAGATAGGAATAGAAACATGAAAACACGTACAGGCGCATGGAGCCTATGTTATGAATAGAGGTAATGGACCCACTCACACTTAGGCGCAGCAACAGGCCAAAAGTTGCACCTACATATTTGGAAGAATACTCCACTACAGGGACCAATAAAGGGGCAAATGTGTCGGACATGCATGCCAAAAACCATTACACAGGTAGAACATAGGATTCCTCTCCAAGCAACAAAGCCTATAAATAGAAAAGAGATACAAGGCTACTGGATATGCATATTCTGAGAGCTTATTTATTTTCTTAGTTTTCCTTTCAGTTGCTTTCCTTAATTAAATGGGTGTAGTTTTTTTTTTCTCAGCAAGTTCTGATTCCCTAAAAGCTTGTTTTCCCGATCTGTTTATCAATACAAGGTAGTTCATATCATTTGGTATTTTCATTGACCCTCCTCTACAAATGGATGACGGGGCACATAATACCTGGCTCAAAACATTGGATAAAGCTCTGAAACAGGTCAAGGAACAAGTTGTTTTCTGTAACAAGAGCTTCGAATCCATCACTGCTATGATTTAGAGATATACTTCCATGTTTCAGGATGTTCTTTCTCAGCTCTCCATCCTACAACTTAACTAGTCAGGTAACAACCAGCAAAAAGACCTGTTTCCAGTGTTCCATTTCTGCCCACCATGCCACCTCCATAAACCTTCTACCACCAACACACCACTCCCATTTAGAATCCCATTTTCTCCCCTTTTCCTCCACAACCCCAGTTTCCAACATAAATCTAGTTTCCTCTTCCACCCCCTTCGAACCCGTATGCAGTGTTTCGTCGTGACAAACCAGCCCCAATCGATTTGTCTAAATTTGATGGAGCTCACATTGAGAGTTGGGTGTTCCAAGCTAATCAATACTTCAAAGTCAATGAGGTTTCTGATAAACGACGCCTTACACTGACCCCTTTTTGCCTTGAGGGTGATGCTCATCACTAGTTTCGATGGATGTAGAGAAATCACCCATTAATTGACGGGGAGCATTTCACCTGAGCTTTGGTGACTTGTTTTGGTGCAAAAACACTAGACGCTCCTGAAGGTGTTCTGGAAAAACTCCAAATGACCTCATTTGTTTGCGAATATCTTTCTCAATTCGAGAAGATCGCAAATCGGACATCGGATATGGCACTGCACTAACTGATGCACACATTTATATCAGGAAGTCTTAGGGATTAGCTTCTCTCCCTGTTGATCTAAATGATGCTATTGGGATGTCTTATTTACAAGAGCAAAAGTTATCGGGCTTGGTAAGCCCAACTCATAAACTACTACTTCTCATTACCCAGGCCCTTAATTTTTCCAGTCACTGAAATATCCCTTCCATTTCTCTGACCTCTTCCACACTAATTTCATCGTCTTCATTCCATGGCCCTTCAGCGTCCCTCCCTGGTGTGGGTCGTGTTCCTCATAAAAAGCTTACTCCTGCTGAAATGCAACAAAAACATGAGCTCAATCTTTGTTATCAGTGTGATGAGAAATGGCACAAGAACCACTGTTGCACTTCTACCCCCCACCTTCTACTTCTCTTATCGGAAAACAATGTTGTGGAGCTTCCACTTCCTAAAGTTGAAAAGGTCGTTGAGAAGTCTACTCCTTGTACTGAGGAAGCACCAGTGTCAGTTACCTCGCCTAATCCTGCTTACACCCCACCACCCTTTGTTCGGTAATATCAAGGAATCTCCCATTAAGGTTCTTCTTGATGGGGCTAGCACTCATAACTTTATGCATCCTCGTGCGGCCAATTTTCTCAAACTACCAATTGAGACCTCATCCCAATTTTCAGTTCTTGAGGGTAGTGGTCATACACGAAGATGTTTGGGGGTCGTTCCTCAGGTCTCACTCACCATTCAAGGATTTACTCTTTGCACTAATTTTCTTATCGTAGAATTTCACAGGTCTGATATGGTCCTTGGGATAGTATGGTTGCACACTTTAGGTCCTTGAGGTTATTCCTCCACTTCCTCATTTCAGCTGTAGTACGAAGTTACTTCCCTGTGTTCCAGAGTCCTTGAGGTTATTCCTCCACTTTCTCATTTCAGTTGTAGTAGGAAGTTACTTCCTTGTTTCCAGATGGGTGGTTAATCCACCAGTATTGTACATTATTTGCATTTAGTGAAATGATAAGCAGAAAATTAGTCAAGTTTTTGAGTACTTCAAACTCAAGAGATAGCAGGTTCTTTTTTAACGAACCAACATCATAGGTAGAAAAAAGAAAACCTCTTTCCAGACTCCTAATTCACTCAACATTAACTCTGATTTTGTCTTGCAACATCCCATAGCTAGATCCATAACAAGGGATAGTAACAAAATACTTATATACCATTGTGATATGCAGCATCCTGTAATGTTTACCTGCAGCTACAGCATGGAGTTCAGCCAGGAGAAATGACAGGTTACTTTTTCTATCCTGTCGTTTAGTTTTAGTTTTGGTAATGCTCTTAACTCCCTAAATTCACATGGAATTTAGTACTTCTATGTGAGGGAAAAAAACTGAAACTAAAAGCAAGCAATAAAGTGCAAACAAATGCTTAGTATAACAAGCATCTCAAATCTTAATTGATGAATCTCCTATGGAACAAAAGCAACACATGGCATTATTAGCAGAACAAAGGGGGATGAGCAAGAAAGTACTGTTTGTGCTATTTGCTTGACCTTGTTTGTAATCTTAAAAGTCTCTTTATATTGCAAAAACTGTAATTTTGAAACAGATGTAAAAGATTACAAGTCTCATCCTGGTTTGAAAAAGAGAGACTATTTTCTTTCCTGGCAGATGTGAACTCTGGTAAGTGAAATTACAAGTAGCTGAACTGTATATCAGCTTCTATTTTGCCGCACTGAACATGATCCCGCTGATAGAAATTTCCATATTTCAAGGCATACCAATTTCTTCAAATTGGAGAATTTTAAGACTACATTCGCTTGCATGCTGCTGCAGCAGAATATATTAATCAATTCAACGCAATGTTGCCTCTTCTGTATGTCCAGTCGAGCAAGTTCTCATTCATTGAACTCTTTAAATTCTCTCTTTTATATTGCAAGTACTACATTTTGTTTGGATAGAGATACGCCAATTGACCATGGGGACATAAGTTCTGATTCATCAAATTTTCTGAAAGTCTCTCTTTTATATTGCAAGTGCTAATTTTTGGATAGAGATGTGTATTTTGTCCATGGACATGTGCATGTTACTAATTGTTAAGTTTTGAGGCCAAGGATTGCTTGGCAAATACTTCAATTTTTACAGATGCTAGATAACACTGATGGGTTTCAGTAGCCTCGCCCAGTCCTTCAAGTAAGATATGACCGCTAAGTCCAAGGTCACAAGGTGAATGTTCAGAAGCTCTCAGTTATCTGTGTTGTCTGAAACCACCGTACCACCCATAATTCTTTAAGAAAGCATGTTTTGACTATGTTTTGCAAATCGATATGCACAGAGGACATATGACCTAGAACAGGAGATCTTTCAAGGTGATCCAGAAAATAAAAGGGATTCTAGAAGATGTCTACAAGGCTATTATATAAAAAAAAAAGTAATGCTTACTCTCGTGAAGCAACGTTCAACTATAGATGCAGATATTTCAGCACCAAATCCACCTGTCACAGGAGCTTCATGACTAATCTACAAACAAGAAATTCACGGTAAGTTATTTAGGATGAAATGGACCTCTTCAATTCTGACATAAGGTAAAACACACACCAGCAGCCTTCCTGTCTTTTTGACAGAGGCCTCTACCGTTTCCTTGTCCCAAGGTATTAAAGTTTTAAGGTCTATCAGTTCACAAGAGATCCCCTCCTGCAGAATATACATATTCAGAAGATGATAAGTAATCCAGGTTTTTACGTAAGAACTACAGTTGAAAGATTAATTGATACACATTTAATGATACTATACCAAGCGTCAGAGAGAAGTTTGAGAATGCAGAAACCAAAATTTTAGTTCCCAGTGACATGAAACCACGAAATGCATTTATAAAAGTAACTAATAATATAACACGACTAATAGAAAATTCTATTCAGGGAAATGGAATAGAACAGATCTTTTAGCAATGAGTATCCACCTTTGCAGCTTCTACACATGCCTGCTCCATAATAGATAGCTGAGCTCCCCAACCAACTAATGTGATATCAGTACCTTCCCTGAGGACCTGCATTTAGGCATGCACTTCAGTTTCAAATTCATGATTTTAAAGATGTGGCACCTAGACCCAACTCAACCCCAAAAGCTAACTCATGAGGGGAGAATTGTCAAGTCTATATAAGCAGACCGCCAGTTTATTCCCCAACCAATGTGGGGCTTTTAATCCACTCTAACACACACGCTCCTACAGGCCAAGGGCCGATTGGAGTGTGCACTGGGAGCCCAAACAGATACAATGTAAAGATATGGCACCTGGGCCTAACTCAACACCAAGTGCTAGCTCATGAGGGGAGGATTACCCAAGTCCATAAAGCAGACCACCAGTCCATCCCCAACCAATGTGGGACTTTTAACCCACTCTAACAATTATAAACAACAAAAGAGGAAGTATCATACCTCTGCCTCAGATAGAGGCAACATATAATCATCTTTAGGAACTTCTTCAACAGCCATCCGGTAAAGCAACTGAAATTCATCCAGAAAGTAGTGAGTTACAGTTCCAATGATCTGGCAAACAGACTAGCAGGAACAAGGGAAAACGAGATCACCTTTGGTTCAAAAAAAACAACTGGATTTGGGTCACGTATGCTTGACAACAGCAATCCTTTTGCTTGCTGTGGACTGCGTGGGATGACCACCTAACAGATAATTGCACATAAAATTATCAAAGGTATGCATGGATTCTTAATGAGGAGAAAAGAGAGACATCTGATTTCTAGAAAAAATATATAAAGAAGTCCGGCAAATCATATAGTCTTTTTAACTATAAATCAGATAGAAATTCTGATAGAACTTAAGCCTTTATTGTGAGATAGAAAAAAACTAATGACGGGCAAAAACTAGAACTTAACTATAAAGTTGTCAGAGATTGGTGATATGATTATTTTATTAATACTAGTACAGGAAATAAATCATTCACCATTGTTAGTGCCTATGCTCATTAAAAGAGGAAGTGAAAAACTAATTTTGGGAAAGTATGGATAGGGGTGGCAATTTCAGCCCATATTAATAAAATGAGTCCATTTTGTCCATATTTAATTGCTTGGATCACTCATATTTTAATTGGTTAAATATGGGTTTCAAACTATTTTAAGAGTCTCTACAAATATAATCAAAATGGGTTAGATATGGGTATCCATTTGATCCATATTATTAGATCACTTATTTTCACTTTCACTCAAAATTCTTAATTGTGCTAAAAGAATAAAATATTAATATTAAATTTTAAGAAATTCAATTAATTTTCAAACTTGATTAAAAATGGATTTTTGTCTTCGGGAAACAAAAAGATTTAGGAGTAGGTTGGTGGCAGGCTTTTTTTTTTGTGTGTGTGTGGGGGGGAGGGGGTACATTAATGTTTTTGAAAAACAAATTTATACCACATGAGAAGGAGAAGAAGGGTTAAAGACTTGAACACATAAAGACGATTACTACCAATTTTTCAAATCAGATGAGATAGTGAAATCAAGAGATGGATGTGTAATTTTGATCAATAGCTCAACTCGAATCACGAGGATAGTTTCATGCATTTGTATAGGTTAGAAAAGTTGGCTATGCTCATAAAATTAGGGCAGCAAAAGTAGAGGATATCATGAATAATATGAGAGTTGGAAAAAACTACAGTTAAAATGGAATCTCTAAGCAGGTTTAGAAGTGTCTGGGAGAGGTTGAAACAGTACATTTTACCAAGCTATTATATGTTACAGTAAGGAGAGCAAAGATGTCAAACAAGTGGAGAAAGATTATATTGATTCCAATATGTATTACCATACGATGAGACTTTAGAGATGAGTGATAGAGCATATACTTAGGGACAATACAACGATACCAATTTGGATTTGCGCACAGTAGAAAGCTATATATTTTCTTCGAAGACTGATGAATTTATAATGAGAGGAAGAAGAATATACATGTGATACTCATAGAGAAAAAGAAATAGAGTGCCGAGGACAGTTGAGATTTATGCACACCATACCAGTCCTCTACTCATTGAGAAAGAGAAAATAGAGTTCCAAGGACAATTTGGATTTCGCATGGTACATGACATATCAATATTGTTCTTGGTCTCCTAACTGTAAAAGGTTGATTCAGCATTTCCCGATTCTTAGTTTAAGAGATAAAGGGTGTTTGGACTGGCTCAAAAGTTGGTCAAACCTACTTTTAAGTCAATTTTTGACTTCTAGAAGTGTTTGACAAATATAAAAATAACTTAAAGGAAGTAAAATGACTTAAAATAAGTCAGAAAGTGTTTGACAAGATTAAAAAACTTAGAATAAGTTTAAAATGACTTAAAATAAGTTAAAAAAACAAAATGAGGCCTCCCCCTAATTTTTATTTTTTGACTTAAAAGTCATATCAGTTTGACTTTTAATTTTTGACTTAAACGCTACTTTTTTAAGTACATCAATGAACAACGAATGCTGCATACAGATGAAACATTACTAAAAGGTACTCTTAGGAGAAACTGAAGTAGCTAGATTTATTTCTGAATGCAAAGTAGATGAGATTTCCTATGTAGTGCAGTGCTTGAATATAAAGATGCCACTCACTTGGCAAATAGAATTTCTGAAGAAATAACAACTGTGACAACCTCAAAGCCGAGGGACACACTAAGGGTTCGCTACTTGAACTCCTCCCACATTTATCAGAACATGTAATATTCTGATTCTATGAAAACTCATGCAAAAGAAACCTAACAAGTGTAAGATGCACAGAAAGATGTGGTACCTTTATACCAGGAACATGGCAGAAGAAAGATTCAGGGGATTGAGAGTGGTAATGCCCACCATGTCCAACAGCTCCATAAGGTGCTCTTATAGTTAAACCTGGAAACCATGAGCCAGTTCAGCATCTTGAAACTTCGAGAAAATGATGAACTGCAATAAAGTCATAAGTTTTCTTCCAGTTACCTCCGCAGTTGAACTGGTTACCACTCCGGTATCTGAATTTCGCAGCTTCATTGACAATCTACAAAACAAAATTTTGAAAGTCAATACTATATCATGATAAAGTGCTAGTACATGATTTAGCATGGATGCGTACCTGATCAAAAGCAGGAAATATATAATCTGCAAATTGAATTTCTGCTACAGCTCGATTGTCCTGAAATTTTAGGCAACAAAAAAAAAATAACAATATCAGCAAACAGTTGAGAAATATTTAGCTTTTAGTATTTAGAGCTCAGAAACTGACCATTGCAGCAAGACCAATCGCAAATCCAACTATGCCCTGCACATCAAAAACCATTAGTGGATAAACTTCTTGACACAAAAAAGTGACTTGTATAAAATGAAATTCATGCTGAATTTACTATTATTAAAACAATGAAATAGTAAGTATTATTATTTATAGCTCAGGTCTTCCACCCAAAAAGGGCTAGAGCAGACATGGAATACGATAGATAAGCTACAGATACCTGCTCACACAGAGGAGTGTTAAAGACCCTCTGTTTACCAAATCGGTCAGCTAGCCCAGTAGTGCAACGAAAGACACCACCAAAACCAACATCTTCTCCAAATACATAAGAACTGAGAAGAAAATTCATCTTACATCACATTATGAAGTATTCACCATAAACACGCGTATAAAATTGCAAGAAAAATAGAGAACAGGTCGATGAAGGCATGAGCCTAAGGAGATGTTGAAATGATCAGGCATTATTTGAAAAGGTTAAGATGTTATTTAGATGCAACGCAAAGAAGGATAATAGGTCAACTAATTCCAAAAAGTCAAGTTGGAGGCGACTGATAAATCATATGATGGAAAAGGATAAAAGCTAAATGTTCAGGCTATCATCCTTGTACTTTTTCATAAAATTAACGCCACTACATCGTTGCATTACTTTTAAAGACTGTTCTGCCCTTTTTGACAGTAAAAGAGGCCTTTTTAGGCTAAATTTCACAATTGTTCCTGTAGAAAAAAGCAAAGAATGAGAAAGCTGTGGGAGCAACCTCTTTCTTCTTATATTGAGAAAAGCAGCCTCTTTATTTTTCTTTTGAACAACCCCTTCACGACTTAACCATTACCATTCTCATATATTATTGCTTAAAATCAGTTGGCATGCAAATAGAAAATTATAAAACATCAATGGGAAATAAGAGTGAACTAGTTCGATTTCCTAAGGTCATCTGATTATTGCAGACTCAATACTAAATTATGCTTAAACGTGAAAATATCATATTTAAAACTAAATATCAAATACTTATGACCCTCTAGATGAGAATTGAAGGGTCGTATATTTATTTTTAAAATAAGTAAAATAATTTAAGATCATCCTAGCTTAAGGAAAAGATGATCAGGATTCTCTACTTGTCTCATTATTAAAATCTTAATTGGCAATTCAATGGTGTACCTCACACATATAGACATATTCCCTTAACTTAAAGTTGGTCCTTTTCCCTTTTTTTCTTGTTTTCCTTCTCTATCCACATAGTAAAACCACAAATCTTTCTAGACAGCAATTTAACAATACTACCAAAATGTGATCAAGTAATATATTGATCCAGAAACGAAGCCAAAGGCGCTAGCGCAGAACCATTAGCTTTGATTCAAACCCTAAAAAAGAAAATAATCTACCGTCTCTGTGACAATAATTTATTTAGTTCCTTCCAAAAAGAATGATTTTTTTTCTTTTTGGAACCATAAGATTCAAAATTTCGTCAAAATAGGATAAACATAAGGAGTTGTAATTCACAACCCATAAACTAAACTTTTTGGCTGTAGCTCTGGATTGATCTACTACAAAAAAAAAGTTGGAAAATTACCGAGGATCAGAGTCTAAAGCGATGTGAAGAGCTTGATTAATAGCAGAGAAAAGGTTGACAGATTTGGTGGAAGTGTCATTTTTGTTAACTGTTGAGGAAAATCCCATACAACTTTGATTTTTGGATGAAATTGCAGCCAATTTCCCAATTCTTCTGAAATTGCTACCCATTTTCTTTGAACTTTCTCTCAAGAATGTTGGAATCTGAACAAGAGAAGCACAATTGAGATTCAAAGTCAAAGCATCTATTATAGAGTTGGGTATGCACTCCCCAATTCAATGTCTCTTTATTTATAAATATAAAGTAATAATAAAATGGAACGTAAATAACATGCGCATTTTTCACGATTATCCTTTAATATTATTTAGTATATTTCACTTTACTCATTATACTATTAGATATAAAAGCTGTCTAATCTAATATATATTACTTAATTTAATTTAATTTAATTTAATTTAATTAATAATTATTTTATAATATTTTTAAATAATATATGTGATATTTTGAAAATCGTAATAATAATAAATTAGAATAATTAAATTATTTCTAAATTTAAATAAATTTTAAAAAGTATATCCGTCGATGGAGACGTGCGTCCGTAGTGGATGGATATACTTATATTTTATAATGCCACAAACAAACAGTAGTTGCCAAATCAGAATTTCATTTGAGCCGGTCTAAGATGATGAAAATATTATTATTATATTAATAAATAATAAAATTGATTTAACTAAATGTGAAGATTAATTATCCAACATAAATAACTTTTATTTATTTATTCTGACAGTTAGGTAAATTTTGTTATTTTTTATTTTTATTCTATCAAGTATTTTTTATTATTATATGTGCACTTATATTTTTGAAAATTTAGATTGGTTTTATTGCTCTTTCATTCTTATGTGATTGTGATTTCGGTTTATCTATTGTTTCTAGGGATTATTTATATTATTCATTGTCTTTTTATCTCCTTGCTTTACAATTTGATATAATTGTACGTATTTTTTTTTATGGATTAAAACATTTTTATATATCTCTTATTTAGTTGAACAAAAATTTATTATATTGATAAATAATAAAATTGATTTAACTAAATGTGAAGACTAATTATTCAACATAAATAACTTTTATTTATTTATTCTGGCAGTAAGGTAAATTTACTTATTTTTTATTTTTATTCTATCAAGTATTTTTTATTATTATATGTGCACTTATATTCTTGAAAATTTAGATTGGTTTTATTGCTCTTTCATTCTTATGTGATTGTAATTTGCGTTTATCTATTGTTTCTAGGGATTATTTATATTATTCATTGTCTTTTTATCTCCTTGCTTTACAATTTGATATAATTGTATGTGTTTTTTTTATGGATTAAAACATTTTTATATATCTCTTGTTTAGTTGAACAAAAATTTATTATATTAATAAATAATAAAATTGATTTAACTAAATGTGAAGACTAAGGGCCCGTTTGGATGGGCTTAATAAAAGCAGCTTAAAAAATATATTTTTGAAAGTGGTGAAACTTATTTTTAAAATAAGCAATTATGCATTTTGATAAAATTGTTGAAGTTAAAAAAAAATTGTTGATGTGTCTCGCAAATAAGTGCTGATAAAGTGCTTTTTAAATCAAAATGTATGAAATACCCTTAAAAGCTGTTAGCATAATAAAAGTTAATTAATTTATATTTTACAACCATAAATAATAGTATTTTGCTATCATTCACATATTTCTTTCTCATCACAAATTATTTATAAGAGGAATATAAACTTATTATAGATTTTAAAGATATATAATTTGAATAGATTAAAGAACGATTTAAGATTTTATTTTAGTTTCATCCATAGATAATAATAATTGTCTATCATTCACATATTTCTTTATTATCACAAATTATTTATAAGAGGAATATAAATTTTTATTTAAGTTATATGTGCAACTTATTTTACATTTTAATAATATATAATTTGAATAGATCACTTGAAAGATTTAAGATTTATTTTATTTTCATTCATTAGTAATAGTAATTGTCTATCATCCACATGTGAAAAGGGAAAAATAGAAGAAACAGATGTTAGGGTTATGTGGGTAATTTGGAGATTGTATATAAATATTAAGGGCAAAAAGGTAAAAGTATGGTCAACTTAAAACAGCTTATAAGCTGGAAAAAAAGCACTCCTACCCCAGCATTTAACTTTTGACTTAAAATAAGTTTTTTTTAAAACTTAAAATAAGTTATTTTGAGTATTGTCAAATAGGCAAATAAGTCAAAAATTAGTTTTTAAGTCAGTTTGACCAGCTTTTAAGCTGAGTCAAACATGCTCTAATTATCCAACATAAATAACTTTTATTTATTTATTCTGGCAGTTAGGTAAATTTAGTTATTTTTTATTTTTATTCTATCAAGTATTTTTTATTATTATATGTGCACTTATATTCTTGAAAATTTAGATTGGTTTTATTGCTCTTTCATTCTTATATGATTTAAGAATTGTGATTTGCGTTTATCTATGTTTCTAGGGATTACTTATATTATTCATTGTCTTTTTATCTCCTTGCTTTACAATTTGATATAATTGTACGTGTTTTTTTTATGGATTAAAACATTTTTATATATCTCTTGTTTAGTTGAACAAAAATTTGTTATATTAATAAATAATAAAATTGATTTAACTAAATGTAAAGACTAATTATCCAACATAAATAACTTTTATTTATTTATTCTGGCAGTTAGGTAAATTTAGTTATTTTTTATTTTTATTCTATCAAGTATTTTTTATTATTGTATGTGCACTTATATTCTTGAAAATTTAGATTGGTTTTATTGCTCTTTCATTCTTATATGATTGTGATTTGCGTTTATCTATTGTTTCTAGGGATTATTTATATTATTCATTGTCTTTTTATCTCCTTGCTTTACAATTTGATATAATTGTATGTGTTTTTTTTATGGATTAAAATATTTTTATATATCTCTTTTTTAGTTGAACAAAAATTTATTATATTAATAAATAATAAAATTGATTTAACTAAATGTGAAGACTAACTATCCAACATAAATAACTTTTATTTATTTATTCTGGCAGTTAGGTAAATTTCTTTATTTTTTATTTTTATTCTATCAAGTATTTTTTATTATTATATGTGCACTTATATTCTTGAAAATTTAGATTGGTTTTATTGTTCTTATGTGATTGTGATTTCCGTTTATCTATTGTTTCTAGGGATTATTTATATTATTCATTGTCTTTTTATCTCCTTACTTTACAATTTGATATAATTGTACGTGTTTTTTTTGTGGATTAAAACATTTTTATATATCTCTTGTTTAGTTGAACAAAAAATTATTATATTAATAAATAATAAAATTGATTTAACTAAATGTGAAGACTAATTATCCAACATAAATAACTTTTATTTATTTATTCTGGCAGTTAGGTAAATTTAGTTATTTTTTATTTTTATTCTATCAAGTATTTTTTATTATTATATGTGCACTTATATTCTTGAAAATTTAGATTGGTTTTATTGCTTTTTCATTCTTATATGATTGTGATTTGCGTTTATCTATTGTTACTAGGGATTATTTATATTATTCATTGTCTTTTTATTTCCTTGCTTTACAATTTGATATAATTGTACGTGTTTTTTTTTTATGGATTAAAACATTTTTATATATCTCTTGTTTAGTTGAGCAAAAATTTATTATATTAATAAATAATAAAATTAATTTAACTAAATGTGAAGACTAATTATCCAACATAAATAACTTTTATTTATTTATTCTAGCAGTTAGGTAAATTTAGTTATTTTTTATTTTTATTCTATCAAGTATTTTCTTATTATTATATGTGCACTTATATTCTTGAAAAGTTAGATTGATTTTATTGCTCTTTCATTCTTATGTGATTGTGATTTGGGTTTATCTATTGTTTCTAGTGATTATTTATATTATTCATTGTCTTTTTATCTCCTAGCTTTACAATTTGATATAATTGTACGTGATTTTTTATGAATTAAAACATTTGTATATATCTCTTGTTTAGTTGAACAAAAATTTTAAAATTATTTTTAAAAATTAATTTTCTTTTTAAATAAGAAAAAGAAAATTAATAAAAGCAGAAACAATAAGTTCTATATATATTATATCCTTTAATTGTTCCATCCTCCAACCCCTACCCTTGAACATCCCACCCTCAAATAAAAGATTTTCTAGTATAATTATAATATAAGTATATTTCACATAATATAAGCAGAAAATTACCTCTCTTAATTAATTAGTCAGTGAGAAAGCTTTAATTATTCTTCAAATATTGAGTTTAATTGGTGCATCGTCTAGGCATTTCAATTTTTCAGTTAGCGATGTTAACGTTTATGATTCAAAAATTAAATATAAGCACAATCCAAATTAAATTGACTAAAAATTGGTATTCAATTTGGTTTAAATTTTTAAAAAATTGATACTATTTAATTTGGTTTTGATTTTACGAAAAAATAATCGCAAAAATAACTAAATCATATTGATATATTAGATTTATAAATTTATAATTATTTATATCTCATTCAGAAATAAAATATATATTCTTGTTAAATTTTAGTTAACTTAAATTTTAAACATTATCATTTTCTCAAGCCCACACTTAAATTTAGTCCAACTTTTTCAATCTTAAGTTTAAGTCGCTTTAGTCTTTACCTGGATACGGTGATACCTTACATAAGATAGTCACATTTTCTCTTAATTGTAGTATCAGTTCGTTATTGTAATAATAGTTTTGCTATTATTTTATTGTTTAATTGAACGAACAATAATTTTCATGTGAATTGTTCATGTGGTGGGTATTAATATCTATCGAGATATATATGTCTTAAAAAATTTATTACTTTAAAATTGAAAAATTAAAAAAACTAAACCAAATCCACTATGATTTTTTTCGTTTAATATAATTTGTTTTTAGAAATTTAAAAAACTGATCAAATTGATTTTATTTTAATTTTAGTCAATAATTTAACCCAAACCAAATTACGAACATTCCTAATAACCTGTAATATTGTGTAACTGGAAAATTAATCGCAATTAGAATTCGAAATACATTTTTTTATTTGTTATTTATACTAAATCATTTCAAACTTTTAATGTCGTCTTGTAAAAGTTAAATCAAAACACACGGGACCAAATAATAATTTATTTTTTTAAAAAAAAGGAAGAGGTAAGATGATTTTTAGTGCTATTCTATCAATTAATGTTTCCCTCTATCAATTAATGTTTCCCTCTACTTTGGCAACTGTCCACCATCTTAGACATTCATTAAATGCCAAACCTAAAAGCTCTAGCG